GGCGAACGTTGCTGGCGCTTGGCTTCCCCCGACAATACGGGGTACTGGACCTTGGTGCCACGATGAGGTGGCCGGCATCACCAAGGGTGAAGTGCGTTAAAGGCAAATATCTGCCCAGCGTGTGTGTTATATCATTTTGAGAGTTAATGTAACAGAATATGTGGAATATGGTTTTTTTGCACCATGCGAAAAGGGCTTGTTGAGATAAAAAAGATGGATGAATTTATCGCACCCCGGCATATATTATATTTTGTTTTGAAGGCGAATATCAGAAATCCCACCAGCACCGCCACAGTGCCTATAGCACTAGTGCGGTTACGATTTCTGAAAGGGAACCAGATTTGCGTTTCATTGTAAAAAAAAACAACTTGTTCACTGCGAAAAAGCGGCCATATCCCAAGAGCAACCCGCCGGAGAAAGCCTTGAAATGGATCTCCTCAGAAAACTTATTCTCAAAAAAGGGGTGCGATTTTTACGCCCACCTATCGCCACCGGGGTGTGCGGAATACAATCAACCCTGGCGCGCGTTGAATGCGTGCCTGTCGGGCGCTCCCCGCTATAACTGGAGGCGCCGACCTTCAGGCATGGCCATGCGCTGGTGGAGGCGGCATTCCACGCCACACAACTGTAGGAATCGCGTTTGGGTTAACCTTTGCTTCGGATTAGCGTTTCGTCATGGAAATGCTTTTAAATTCATTTGTTCGGCATTGGCGCACCAAACCGGTATGAGCCACACCTGGCCAACAGGTGGTTGGCCTTCGCCTTCAGATTAGGGAATGATAGCGTACGGAGGCGCAATTGACAAGCCGCGAGGTTTAAAGCTTCTTTCGTGGCAAAGAGCTCAGTAACAATACTATGAGTATTTTGGAAGGGCGAGACTTGGCGAAAAAGCGGCCTCACGAATTACTTTACAATAGCTATCAAAAACTCAACGATCTTGCCTTAAGTAATTTCCATCAACATATTGTCAAATCCAGCGATTGAGTTAAAGCAGCAAAGTTGAAATGGCTGAAATCCGTGGAATTTCAAAACTAGACGACTGTGACCTTCCAGACGGTTCCGCCAAAAAAATATATATCTTCACAGTTATTGTTTCTGAAACACTAACATACACTGAGGGTTAGGGAAACCAACATAGTGATGCGTTGAACAAATATTAGCCAGTAAATCGTCTCCCCGCAACTAGGACGTAGAAAGATTTGAAATTCAAAGAATAGTCTATATCTTACCTTCCCCTATTAAGTAAAAGAGAGAGAGAGAGAGAGCAAGCGAGACCTTTTATCTAGATCCCAATTCGAAAACCCCTTGCCCCTGGTACGCATCAGAAAGGGAGACATCCGGTAACCTCAAGGCCTTCCCCTTATAAGGAAGTGAAAGCTTGTAGCCCCACTGACGAAAAGGAGGTGCTGAAAGCGCCCTTAACCCGCCCCCCGCGCTCCCCTTCGCAAGTCCCACCCCTTCGCGATGTCCGTCGGCAGAACCTTTGCTCCTCGTGATATACCGTCCGCAGGGTTGTTTGCCGACGCGACATAGCCCCATGTGGCGTGCAAGCCTTGATCCCGCAGAACCCTGTCGATAAGCCCCGCCTCCCCCACCAGGGCATCGGAATGCGCGTTGCCTTTCCTCATAATATGCATAACCGTCGTGTTGCCGATACATATATGGAGTGTAATAGGCATTTTCCCTTTCAAAAACGAGCAAGGCCAATCCGACGGCCCTCGCTTCAGCCTGTGCAATTATATGGGGGGCTTTTTCCCACGCACCCCCTGTGGCTCAAACTTCCCCGTTGTCTTTAAACAACAGCGCGCCCCATCCATATAAAGAGGCGTCTGGCACCAATGTCCCTGAAGTCGGTAAAGCCCGCGGGGGGTTTACGGGGTTGTTCTGTAACAGAGTGTCCAGCCATTTCTGCCCCACCTTAAGGGCAAAGGGGGGTAGGGCTGCCGGATCATGGGCC